TATTCAAAGTGCTTTACATAAAAGAAAAGAAAATAATAATAAAAAATTAATCACAACAATAAAACAAGGCATTTAAAAACTTTGAAATTGATTTAAGAGGTTTCAAATGAATAGTTAAGAATAGAAAAAGATTATACATATAATATAGTGCAATCAGTTCGGACATCGCACAGTGCTCATTCAATAAATGCACAGCTAAACAGATGAGTTTTGAGTCTGCATTTAAATGTGACTAATGTTTTAGCACATCTGATCTCTTCTGGAAGCTGATTCCAGCAGCGGGCAGCAAAATAGCTAAAAGTGGATTCCCCTTGTTTTGTGTGAACCCTTGGTATTTCTAACTGACTTGATCCTAATGATCTGAGTGGTCTGTTAGGTTTATATTCAGTGAGCGTATCTGCTATATATTTAGGTCCTAGGCCATTGAGTGATTTATAAACGAGTAAAAGTACTTTAAAATCAATCCTAAATATAACTGGAAGCCAGTGTAAGGACCTGAGGACTGGTGTAAAATGCTCAGATTTTCTGGTTCTAGTCAGAATCCTGGCAGCAGTGTTCTGGAACACACACTCTCACACATACACACACACCGCTTCATTCCTCACACAACGCCGGCCCAGTGGAGCCCAGTGCATTAAATTCTAATAATTATTATTGTATTCATTCATTTACAGTGAAATATGAACATTTTTTTAAATATTTGAAGCTAATAATATTGATTAATTGATTGATAATATAATCAATCAATCAATATTATTAGCATTAAATATTTTTAAAAATGTTAATATTTCACTGTAAATTAAATAATATAGTAATAATTTAGATGGAAAACATATAATTATCTAATTTAATTGTCATTTGAAAATGGTATAGTTATTTTGGTTGTATTGTGATTAATCGTGCAGCTCTGATCACAGACTGATGGGAATTGATTGGAGACGCTGCAGGGTTAATCTAGAGCTGGTGATGAGATTATCTGTTTGATTTAAAAGTGTGTTTGTGTCTCATCCTCACACTCCATTAAACAGCACATAAACCTTCAGAATAATGACAGCGCTGCTAACGAGCTCATTAAAAGCCCATAAACGGCTGCTTACTCAGCGCTTCTCACTAGATCACTGCGTATTTGATGCCTTTTATGATGGATTTGAGACACACTCAGAATACTGTCTTTGCTGATGAATGCTTGATTCTGATTGGTTGACGAACATTCTAAGTGCATTAGCCCCGCCCACTTTCCCAGCAGCGTATCAAAGTATTTTGACCATTCATTTTTCCCATAGGGATTGTAATAAAGTCTTCATTAAAGCATTATAAGCCATGAACCAAACTAAACCGCTCTGAGGAGGATCACAACAGTATAAACTGATTTGAAGCAAAAAAGTAAATAAAAAAATCATAGAATGACAAAGATACCAGACTGTGAACAGCGTTAATGAGGGAAAATAAAAATGATGGAGAAATATTAAACTATTGATTTAAAGTAGTTGGTTTTAATCTATAGAAAGAGTGAAGGGAGACTCTATTGTGGAGTGGGCGGAGCTAAAGATCGCTGATCGATTTTTGTGCGTGCGTGAGTGTGTGTGCGGGTGAGTGAGTGGGTGTGTGTGTGTGTGTGTGAGTGAGTGGGTGTGTGTGTGTGTGTGTGAGTGGGTGTGTGTGTGTGTGTGTGTGTGTGTGTGCGTGTGTGCGTGTGTGCCTGAGCGTGAGTGTGTGTGAGTGAGTGTGTGTGTGTGTGTGTGTGTGTGTGAGTGTGTGTGTGTGTGAGCGTGTGTGTGTGTGTGTGCATGTGTGCGTGAGTGCGTGAGTGTGTGAGCGTGCATGTGTGCCTGAGCGTGAGTGTGTGTGTGTGTGTGTGTGCATGTGTGCGTGTGTGCCTGAGCGTGAGTGTGTGTGAGTGAGTGAGTGTGAGTGAGTGTGAGTGAGTGTGCGTGTGTGTGCGTGTGTGTGCGTGTGTGAGTGAGTGTGTGTGAGTGAGTGTGTGTGAGTGAGTGTGTGTGAGTGAGTGTGTGTGAGTGAGTGTGTGTGTGTGTGTGCGTGTGTGTGCGTGTGTGAGTGAGTGTGTGTGAGTGAGTGTGTGTGAGTGATTGAGTGAGTGTGTGTGAGTGAGTGTGTGTGAGTGTGAGTGAGTGTGCGTGTGTGTGCGCGTGAGTGTGTGTGTGTGCGAGTGTGTGAGTGAGTGTGAGCGTGTCTGCGTGTGTGTGTGTGAGTGTGTGTGTGTGCGCGTGTGCGC